CACTAAGAGGAAACCGGACTTTCAAGTGTCCGAGGACGGAATTCTTAAGTTTCGAGGACGTTTGTGCGTGCCCAATGATTTGGAGCCGAAAGAAGAGATTTTGTCAGAGGCTCATAGGAGCAATTATAGTATCCACCCGGGCAACACGAAGATGTACCAGAACCTTCGATAGCACTATTGGTGGAACAGAATGAAAGGGGACGTGGCCAAGTGTCTGACGTGCCAACAAGTGAAGGCACAGCATTGTAAACCTGGTGGAATGTTGCAGCCATTGGAAATCCCTGAATGGAAATGGGAACATATTACCATGGATTTTGTAACGGGATTGCCAAGAAGCCAGAGGGGACACGATGCTATTTGGGTGATAGTGGACAGATGGACCAAGTCAGCGCACTTCCTGGCGGTGCGAAAGGACTTCGAGCTAGAAAGGTACGCAGAGTTATATGTTCGGCAGATAGTCCGTCTTCATGGAATACCAGTATCAATCACTTCGGACCGTGATCCCCGGTTTACTGCGAATTTTTGGAAGAGTCTGCAATCAGCCATGGGAACCAAGTTGCAATTCAGTACGACCTATCATCCTTAGACGGATGGCCAATCTGAGAGGACTATTTAGACCCTAGAGGATATGCTGAGGGCTTGTGTACTAGATTTTCAGGGCAAGTGGGAAGAGCAGTTGCACCTTGTTGAGTTCGCCTTCAATAACAGTTTTCAGCAGAGTATCGGGATGGCACCATTTGAAGCACTTTATGGCAGAGCGTGCAGAACACCATTGTGTTAGGACGAAGTGAGGGAAAGAAGTATAACGGGTCCAGAGTTGGTTCAGCAGTCGGTGGAAACGGTAAAGATTATCCGGGAAAGGTTGAGAATAGCCTAGAGCCGTCAAAAAAGTTACGCGGACCGAAGGCGTAGACTGTTGGAGTTCCAGGTTGGTGACCATGTATTCCTTAAGATCTCACCGATGAGAGGACTATCTCGGTTTGGCAAGAAGGGAAAGCTAAGTCCAAAGTATATAGGCCCGTTCGAGATTTTGGAAAGGATCGAAATGTTGGTTTATCGTCTCGCCTTGCCGCCGAATTTGTCGCAGGTTCATAACGTCTTCCACGTGTCAATGTTGAGGAAGTACGAACCGGATTCGACCCACGTGCTGAATCATGAGGTAATAGACATGTACGACAGGGTGTCGTACGTGGAAAGACCGGTGCGGATCGAGGATAGAAAAGACCAGGTTTTGAGGAATAAGACGATCCCGTTGGTCAAGGTAATTTGGGAACATCACGGGACTGAAGGCGCCACCTGGGAAAGCGAGGAAGTAATGCGACGTCAGCACCCCCATTTATTTGAGTAGTTGGGTTAGATTGTAAATTTCGAGGACGAAATTTTTGTAAGGGGGGAAGAGTTGTAACGTCCTGAATTCGACCTACTTTCGTAATCAATGAAATTGATGTATTTCTCATTTCATTTTAGTAAGTCTCACCCGAAACTGATCATTCTCGGGATACTGACCAATAGGGAATGGCTAACTAGGAAAACGGTACGTGGACCCAAGAACTCGACCGTGAATTGAGTCCAATTCCGAGAAGCGACGAGAGAAATATTTTGGGCCAATATGGGCCGATTCAAGGAGAGTGACGGATTTGGTTTGGCCAACGGGGTACGATCGGATAGCGGGTGATTCCGCACGACTGAGAGTACGCGTGGCGAACGATCCCGAAACTTATTCCGAACGATCGCGACCCCCGGAACTAGTGATAAATCCTCGTGCTCTCTGGGAAATCGAGACCGTCACGACCCGAGCAGCCCTAGGTCGATACGCGTAACCCCTAAACAGCCGCCCGTTAGTGAGAGATGCTAAAATCGCAAATTGAGTGAAATCGATCGTGGAATTGAGTCCGGACTTCGGTGTCGAATTTCGTGGGCGTGCGCGACTATTTTTGCAAGGACAACGTTGTAAAAGTGTGGCCAATCATATTTGGGATCAGTGGAGCCGAAAATTGGAAATTTGACCCGGGACCGGAAAATTATCGTTTTGCCCCTAGGCCTAATTATAGTGTTCCGAATTTTGGAGTTAAATGGGGGATATTTGGGGTTTAATTTATGGTCTAATCAGCCCCAATAATTGAGAATATTATGGACAAGATTGCCCCTCCATTATTGGACTTGGATCAACCTCAACCCTTGGATTAGGGACAAGTTAGTCATTTTTGGGATAGTGGTTCAACCACCCCACTAAGCTCAATTTGATAAACTCTCTAGTCTCTCTCTCTCTCCCTCATTTCTTCTCCCCCACTCCACCGGCCACTCCCTTTTCTCTCTCCCTCTCTCTCCCGTGCTCTCTTTCTCGACCGCCCAAGAACCTCGCCGGAGCCGCCGTCGTCGGAGGAGCCGCCGCACGCCGGCGCCGCGCCACCCGTCCGTCCCCCTCGCCTCACCACCACCATCTAGCCGTCCCATTCTCTCTCTCTCCCTTCCCCAGCCGCGTGAGGACCAGCCCCCGCCTTGGATCGCCGATCGCCGGAATAGTCGCACGCCGCCGCCGTTAGTGCCGCCGAGGACCGCCACTGCTCAGCCGCCCTTGCCACCTGTCCATCCTTCATTAGAAGCTTAGGAATCCAAGTGAGTACAACCCTAAACCCTAGTTAGGCTAATGTGTGTTTCTAGATGAGTTTTAGGGGTTAATTAGGGTAATTTAGGGGTTAACTTGTGGAGACTGTTAGGGGCTGATTTTGTGGCGCATTTGGTGGCTTAGAGTGATAATTCAAATGAGGTTTAGTGGCCTAGATTGTGCTGTGTGATGGTTGATCATTGAAGCCTCGATTTGGGTAAGAATGTGGACTAAATGAGTGTAATTTGTGTGGCCGTGTAGTGGCTGACCTTGAGGTGAAATTGGAGGTTCATTGTACTGATTTGGAAGTGAATTGGTGGCCTAGGGTGGACTGTTCATGGCTGATTTGGTGTAGATTGGATCCGGGCCATATTTGACTAATCATGGGCTTAGCGTAAATCGTCAAGTGTTTTGTGAATGGACCATGAGGTGGTTGGATTAAGCGCGAATTGACATTAGTATTTTGATGCCATATTGAGTACTTGTGTGGCCGTGCCTTGAGGGAGCCTTGGGGGCCATGGACTTGTGAATCTTAATGATCTAATTTCGTGGTTTCGTGTGCCAAGTTTGTGCCATGGCTGGATTGGATGATTTGATTAGTTGGGCTTGTAATTTATTGAATTGAGCATGTTGCGTTGTGAATTGAACACGTGGTATTGTGCAATTGAATGCTCGATGTGAATTTCATGAATGCCCAAGTGTGAACGTTATGGCCATGAGTGTGCATCTCGAACATTGGCATAACATGTGCATATACGAGTGTGCACGAATGACATGAGCATGTGATCACCTAAAATGCCCTGATGCGTTTTACACGGGGTTCAGATAATAATTGGTGATTGTAAATGCGTGATCACATAAAGCCCTGATGCGTTTAACGCGGGGTATTGAACCCGTCCTTAGGCGTGTTTCGCGGGACGATGCCCGGACTACCGGAAGATGGCCAACCTGATGCGTTTTACGCGGGTTTTGTGCCATAAGCCTGATGCGTTTTACGCGGGCCAGAGATCGATCTCGAAGTGATAGACCTGATGCATTTTACGCAGGTCGGACCTGATGCGTTTTTACGCGGGTCGGAGGAGAATTGATAAATTGCAAGTGTGCAAGAGTGCAAGTGTGCGAAAATGCATTAATGAGACATGAGCACGAGTATGAGCATGAGCATATGCATGACGCGCGTTGTGATCAAGTGATGTTGCGCATGTACCACGATTGGGTTCTGTGTTATTATTGTGAATTTATAAAGTGCTTAACCTGCAGGGCCAAGTAAGTATTGGATTTGGGCCCGAGGGCCTAAGTCTTTTTTATTTTGGATTGTGTGTTGTTTGGTGCTCGTCAGGAGGTGCATGTTAGCCTAGCTTAGGTTTAGGGGGCCTACTCGCTGAGATTTATTCTCACTGTTGTATAACTCAACTTTTCAAACCCCCGGCCTTGAGATGTCCGCAGTGCCTATTCGTTTTGGGATCCCTTACCGGATAGACCAGGAGGAGACGGTGTACCCCGCAGGGAACGGGGATTTTTATGTTAGATACTTGACTACAGTTTGGGTTGATGCGGGAGAGCAGCTTGATCAGGCCCACATGTACATAGGGTGGTGTATCAGGGATCTTACCGGGACTTACGGACCCCTTCGTTCTTTTGAGGTTCCGTATAACGAGTCGGGGGATGTTGACCCTTAGTGTCCCGATGGAGATTTGGTGAGTCCTGACCGTGCGTCCGAGGGGAGCTCTAGTGCTGACTTAGGGCACGAGCCGGAGGTTTGGGAGATGGACGAATCAGAGCAGATGGAGGAGGAGCTGGAGGATGGACACTCAGACCCGGAGCCGATGGATTCGGAGGATGAGCCAGAACCGATGGAGCAGGATCTCGAGCTGGAGGTAGCACCAGAGGAGGACGGTTCAGACGTAGAGTCATCCGGGATCGATACCGAGTTGCAGTCCATGGAGTCCGAGTCGGGGTCGTCCAAGAGTTCTTCTGACTCGTCGAGTTCAAACCCAGCCTGGGAGCCCTAGAGTAGTCCTTAGACCCTAGTTAGGTTGGGCCAGTACCCTTTTTGATCGGTGCCCCACCTAGTACTAGTAACCCTGACCGCCCAGGCCACTTACCCCTTTTTGTCAGTTGTGGTCATTGACTCGCTTTTGATTTTTGAGCGTATGCTGTAAATAAATGTTGTATATGTTCTCCTGATCAATGCAAGTGTATATGTGTAATCATGTTGATCATTTTATCCTTGGTCTCGTATTTAATTTGTATGGGTGTTTAAGTTGCTTCCGCATGTGTCTTGTACTCTGTTTTGGGTATTGGGTCGGCGACGCGTCCTGGGACGTCACACTTGAATCGACCGCGGTAGGGATGTGGCGTGCCGTAGGGTGCGGGGCGTGACAGTCTTCTTCGCCTTAGAGAATGGCCGCTTCATCTTGCACTCCTCTTTCTTTTCTTCCCCTCTTTCTTCCCGGACTTTCCGGTGCTTGTACTTGCTAACTGTTTATAAACAAAGTTTCTTCTAAATTTGGGCAACACGAGAGCCCAAGCCCGAGAGAATGGCCGCCTCATCTTTCTTTCGCTCCTCTTTCTTTTCTTCCCTCTTTCTTCCCGGACTTTCCGTTGCTTGTACTCGCTGACGCGGCCTCCAATCGAACTTTCTCCTAAATTTGGGCAGCCGAAAATTGACAGTGAGCACTCGTCTGGTGCTTTCCAATTGAGTACACTAGGGAAACTTCTCAATGACCTGCAATTGCTAAATGTCAAATGTTTGAGAGCCTCTAGTTCATCCAGGCCCTTAACCGCCAGAAGCTCATCGCAATCTCGAATCCACAAGGACTCCAGCTTTTTCAAATCCGATAGATCATCTAGACTTTCAATCTTAGGACACCTGTGTATTTCCAATCGCTCCAACGACTCCACCGAACCAAGACCTTGGATGGCAGTTAGATTTGGGCAATACATCAGCCTCAACTGCTTCAACCTCTTCAACCTTGAAAGACCGGCAAATCCCTCGAGGAGTTCTAACCTTATCACTTCGAATTCAATCAACTGTTCAAGCCCATCGACTTGGACTTCCTTCCAACGGCACGCATAAATGTGCAAATACGTCAAGTTTCTCAAATTGCAATGAAAGGACAAACTGGTTGTGCATTTATGAAATTTAAGTGACAATGTTGACAGAGACGGTGGAAGGAGCGTGAGGAATTGTAGGCATGGACCATCTTGGGAGAAAAAAGGACCATCTTGCGAGAACGGAGGACTGTTCAGACCCCAATCACCGAAGGCCAAATCCGCCAATTTAGTTAGGTTTGAGAGATTCGGAACCGACCGCAGCGAACTTGATCCAAACATTTCCAATTTCTCTAGGTGAGGAAGTAGTTTGATCGTTGCCGGAACATTTCCAATACGGGTTGATTTCAAGTCAAGGACTCTCAAAAGCGATAATTCCCAAATGTCCTCGGGAATTTCCCATTTCAGAGACTTGCAACCCGTGGCATATAGCTCTTCCAACTCTTTTAGCGCGACAATGCTCCGCGGTAGCTCCGTTATCGAAGAATGCGAAATATTGATGACTTTTAATCTACTTAGGTCTCCGATAGATTCAGGTAACCGTAGACATTGCGTTCCCGAGACATCCAACTTGAGTAGCGATTCCAAGTTCCCAATCAACATAGGGAGTTCCCCTATTCTAGTATACGATAGAATGAGAGACTTAAGTTTCCGTAGGTTCCCGATAGAACTAGAAAGTTCATTGATTTTCGTAGATCGCAATTTAAGTACTGACAAGTGCTTTTGGTTACCAATAGAGTCGGGTAATCTCTTGATGGCCGTATATGAGAGATCCAACTCTACCAGTGATGCCACTCTCTCAAATGATTTGGGTAGCTTCCTCAACTCTGTGCAATTGCTTAAATACAAGTATTCAAGCTTCTCTAGCTGTCCAATTCCTTCAGGCAACTCCCTAAGACTTGTACACCTATTCGCATTAAAGTAAACCAGGCACTTGAGCTTTTCAAGAGAATCATCAACTTCAATTAGACTCCAGCAATTTTCAAGGATCAATCTCTCTAAACTCGTATAATGAGAGAAGTCTGTAGTCTTCGTCAGGTAAAAGCAATCCGTGAGATCCAAAACTTTAAGCTTCTTGGCAACCTGTTACAATAGCTAGAAGATAGTAAAGGGAAAATTCCGTGCGAATTTAGAGCCAATCAACTAAACTTAGATGCAATCGGGTTGACTCATTTTCGTAATTTAACCCACATAGATCCATCCATCTAGTGTACTCACACCTATCCAGCCTGATCCACTTATATACACCTATATATCAATTCATTACGATCTAATTTCATGGCCTTGATTACAAGACCAGCATAGTCAGCTTTGTTTTACTTATGGAATGGCCTTGATTAATCCATTTATGAGCCAATTTGTTTACAATACGTTATTGCCTATATAGTTATGGTATAGTCAATTTTAGTTAAAAACATAAAAGCAGCGTGAGACAATTCAAAAGAGATAAAGATAAACAAATATAGCGATGGATGGTACCTTGATTTGACTCCATCCAGCCCAATCCTCCGTGATGAAACTATCAGACAGTTTGAGAACTACAAGATTGGTTGGATGGAAATTGATTGCCAAGAACTTTCGAGGACAGAAAGGCCAAGACATGTATCTTAACTCTGAAAGCTGATTCTCAAAGTCTCCATCTAATTGTGCCCTACTTAGTTTGAGGAACCTTATGTTTGGAAGCTTTGAAAACTCTTTGCTCCTATAGGTCTTTCCAGCTAAGCAGACTGCTTCAATGGCCTCCTTTCTCTGCCATAAAAAGGTAAAGTAGCATAAGAGTAAATAAAAAATATCGTCATTCTCTCTCTCCCTATTAAAAAAGGGCTCCTAATTGATAAATGAACTATTGAGAAAATCATAGAATTTGATGGCCGAAGATATGGTTTCACCTCTTCTGTTCTTATGATATTATTGGCCGTCTCATAATCCCACAACCTGCTCTGCTTTGTTCGATCCATCAGCCTCGTATCTCCAAGGACAATTTTCCTCCCGAGATCTCGTAGTTGGTCGTGCATCCAACATTTGTTGTCATCGGTTATCTTTATCAAGGACATGCAGACAAGGACTTGAATCGAATAATTCGGGAAAAACCTACAATCCTTCCACATGTAGAATGCATTTGTCATGTCTTCGTCCACAAAAAAACAGGCAATGTCGAGAAAGATCTGTTTTTGCTCATGACTCAACACATTGTAGCTGATCTTCAGCTTGTCCTGGACCTTCTCATGAGGTATTTCTCTTAGATTGTCCAGCACATCTATCCATAAGGGTTTGCTTTGGCGACGAAGTAATGAGCCTACGACTTCGAGAGCGAGGGGAAGCCCTCCGGTCGTAGAAACTACTTGTCTCGAAAGATCAACATAATCATATGGAGGAGGATTCTTTCCAAAAGCGTGTCTACTGAAAAGCTCGAGTGATTGACCGGAATCCAAGTGCTTCACTTCGTACTCTAGAGTTTGGTCAGCTTCTATGATGCTCCTGTTCCTAGTTGTCAAAATAACTCTGCTTCCCGAGCCAAATGAAACGTGCTTGATGGCTAGTTTCTCGAGTTGCTCCTCATCACTCACATCGTCGAGAACAATGAAGAGTTTCTTGTCAGAAAGTCGCTTCGCAATCACCTTGATCCCATCTTCGACATCGTTAATTTTGTCATGAAAGCCCAAACCACAAATGTCAGATAATAATTGTTTCTGCAAATTTTTTAGGTCAAAGCTGAGCGACGATTCCCGGACATTTCCGAGGAAGCAGCAATGACTGAAGTGGGAATTTAGTTTGTTGAACACAACCTTAGCGAGAGTCGTTTTGCCGATTCCACCCATTCCATGGATTAGCACAAAGCGTATGCCCCCAGAGTTCACATCCAACAACTTCACAACAGTTTCCACTCGATCGTCCATTCCGACTAAATGCTCGGTCACATATTTGTCCTTTATCTTTAGACTCATCAAAATCTCTTGTATCACCGATTTAATGAATTTCCCATGCCTGCCACAATAGTGAATCCTCTAAGTCGAAATTGTAAAGGATAACCTTATGACACTCAGCAAGTGGTTGCAATCAACATGGTTAGTACCGCTAACTAAATCGACTAGTGCACCCAAAAGTAAGAGACGCATTAGGTATGTTTGGAACGCGACTTCACTATGATTTAAACAAATAATCATATAATGAAATTAAGAGCTTTGTTTCTGTATTTGCTTCCGAAATACTAACACTTTCAGACGGGCTATTAACATGGAAGGATGGGAAACTTGCTGCAATAACACGCAAAAATTTCTCGAAAAGGAGAGAGAAGGTTACTTTTTAAGGAGTAATCCACAATTTACAAACACAAAGATGTATAAAATTGGATCTATCAATGAAAGCAGGAGAGGAAAAAGACAAAAATACGAAAGACATACTCCTTGTATTTATTAACTCATCCCCCCTCCCAGAGAGAATTTTGGCTGAATACTTACCCGGTTCTTGCTTTATCTAGTTTGGATGAATGACATGGTTGATTCTATTACCAAAATTAGTTTTCAAAACACACATTCAATTTCAAACCGCCTAGACAAGATCTTATTAAAGCTTGGGTATATAGTGAAAGTCCAAAACAAAAGATAACGGAGTGCTTTAGGACGCATACGTACCCTTGCTTTTTCAACTCCCATCCTTTGATTTTGGCAACGCTTTTGAGGGCATCCTCCCACTTTCCCCTCGTCTGGGGGCCGAACTTCTCCTCGTGCTCCTCCAAAGCGCCGATGTACCGTTGAGACTTCAGCTTAACGTCGCGAGGTTCTACGTCATAGAAAATCGGCATAATTTCCTTCTCGGATGGTTTGGATATCTTGCACTCCACCATGTGTGCTAGCTCACGAAGGCACCATGCACTCGAAGCATAATCTTTAGAGAAGATGGGTATGTAGATCTTCGACTTTTCGATGGCCGTCGGTAGCTCGTCGCCTATTTCTTTGCCGACGTGGAGCTCTTCCTCGTCGAAGAAAACACGGATGTTCGCGTCTAGCATACCGTGGTAAAGGCAATCCGTGAATCCTTGGCGAGTGTCTGGCCCCCTGAAACTCAAGAAGACCTCGTAGTCAATCGCCGACGACTCACCGCCACTCGTTTCAGCCTCCGAGCTCTTCCTCATGTCCATTCTCACGAGTATTTTCTTATGAGGGTTTCCTATCTCAGAGCACCTGATCAAGAAAGGCTCAGGCACTACTGAATTTCTTTTATGTTACTCTTCAGACGTCTCTTCCTAGAACTTTCCCTAGTCGAGTCTACGTCAAACTCTCAAGTGGCCCAACCAGTCCGCGTAGCTTTTTCTCCCGGTGGGCTCCGCTTCTTGTAGACTTGACTTTTGATGAATTCACAAATATGCTTTGCTTTGCTCTGTTGCTCGAGAGTCGACATTACAATTTTATTTTTTCGGATGCTGTTTCAAACTTAAGTGATATTTTTTGGATAGTTTTATGATAAGATTTATTTTACTTGAACAGTAAATTTCCCCTTTTATTAGCTAATTTTTTTCTTAGATCTGTTTGGAGTGACGTTTATATTTTGTTTTGTTTTTTAAATTTTTGCTGCGTTGGCACTTGACTTTCTTTTATCTTAAGCAATTGAATCTTTCATATGGAAATGTTGACATGTATATTCACCGAAATTTTTTTCACAATTCACCAAAATTTAGATAAAAATATTACTAAATTTGACGGGAAAGCAAAAAAGTTGTTCTTACTTTTTATAAGGCCAAACAAAGAGGCCCTGATCTCTAGGTTGTTTTACGGATTTTCATGGTTTGAATTGTAGGAAACATTGCCTCTTTGAATTAGATGTAAAAATTAAGATTTTTTTCCCTTTCGCGCCCAGTGATGGTTCCGGGCCTTTTATTAAGCATTCCGACTTTTGCAGCTACAATTAGAACACCAGGGAAAAAAAACATATTAATCGTAAGAAATAGCTAGACATTGACTAATGATGTAGCTAGCCAGGATCACCTAGAGGGGGGGTGAATAGGTGATCTTAAAATTTTTTTATCAATTTAAGCGGAAATGATTGACCACAGTTGAGTCTGAATAAAATTCAGATTCAAAACAGTTTAAATAGACAGTGCTTTTGATGTGCAGTATGTAAAGTAAGAGATAGGGGATAGAAAAACTGCGCACAAGTTTATAGTGGTTCGGCTTATAGCAAGCCTACGTCCACTCTCCCACGCTGACAGCCTACTGGCTGGATTTCACTATGTAATCAAGAGGAATTACAGATTCTGAGTGATAGCACTCTAGTGTATGATAGGACTCTCTATCTCACACAATCACTCTTACAAAGTATCCCTCAAGATCTTAATGTTTAGCTCAAGAAAGACGAGAAAGGATCAGAGTATGCTCAGACTTTGGACTTGTTGATTCTCGATTTCGTATATATCTTCTGCTCCTCGTAGATCTCTTTTTATACTCCTCTACTACCAAACTAGCCGTTGGATAGTATTCAGAGGATCATCTTCCAATCTTCATCTTGGATAGATTTGTATAAAATGGATTGAGTAGCCGTTGGTTGACAAAATCTGAATCCCGCTGATTCTGGTTGCCCATACAATCAGAATCTTGGTTTCCATAAGTAGAGCTTTATCCGTTGTAATGCATACTTTTCATAATGTATGATTGTCAATCAATTAGACTGAGATTGAGTCAATCAAAACCTTCCTTTTGTGAAATCCATGCCAAATCACTAGCTGTTATGATTCCTTCTAAATGAGTTTTGCTTCTGCGTCTGAAAAACTTCAGCATCTGAGAAATTTCAACGTTTGTGTCTGCATAATTACTGCGTCTGAAGAATTTCTAATTCAGAACTTGAGTCAGTATAGGTCTTCTGTAAAATCTAAATATTTCATAATTAGAGTCTGAATGACTTTTATGGTAAAGTCTAAATATCTTATGTCTGAGTTTGAACTTTTAGTCCTGAGCCTGAACTTATAATTTTGAAAACTTGTAAAGTCTGATATTTCCTTCTGAACTTCCAGAATATATTAACCTGAAATGGAATGCATGTCAGATAAACATAGAGAGTTTTGTCAGCTTCAAAATCCATTAGGAGTTTTCCTCAACAACTAATATATGCAATTCCAGTACGGTTTATGACCTTCAATTTTTTGAAAAAAGGGCCCAATAAAAGTGGAAAATTTCTCCATGGAAAGAACCAAGCAATGCCCATTATCAAACTTGCAATGCGTAAAACAGTAACAGATCCGCCAAATTGCACACAAGATGGTCAGCTTAATCGATCTATCTAAACGAAACCTAACTATGTATCTCAATGGTAAGTTAACGTGATTTCCTGCGCATTGTTTTGTAATTAATTGTTATCGACCGGATAAAACAATTAGACAAATCTTAATTTTCTTTTTGACATTAAATTTTGAACTTTTACCATCATAATACATTTCTCAGGGTCCGTTTTTCTTTCGCGAAAAATTTCTTGTTGGAAAACATTCTCCATAATTTTCGGCGTTTGGATCGCTTAGGAAAATCAGTTAATATAAAATATTCTCATAGTCAGTGGAAAACTTATACTTAAATTCAGTATTATGAATTCTTTAAAAAACTAGAAAATATTTTTTGAAACATGGCAAGACTCCGGCACTTGGAGTATCCTGATTATTCCTTTGAGATACTTTCGATTATACTGTGAAAAATGAATTGAAATTTTCTTTAATCTACCGATGCTCGATCTAAGAGAGGGCGGCTATCTTTGCATGGCATTTCTTTCTCTTTCTGAAATAGAAATTCTCTCATCTAGAGAATTTAGGAATGACTTTAACTTACCTCAAAACAAAATGCTGACAATATGGCATGCTATATGTGGGCACCTAGTTTTTTCAAAGGGTCACTTGTATTAATTTTTTTTATAAAATATAATAATAAAAGGATTAATATCACGAAAAATCCTAAACTGATATACCCGTGACAAATTTACCCTAAACTAATTTTTTTACTACAAAAAATCCTAAACTGGTATACCTGTGATAAATTTACTCCAAACTAATTGTTTGACCACTAAAAACCCCAAACTGGTATACTTGTGACAAATTTACTCTATTAAATTGGATTACTACCACGAAAAATCATAAATTAGTAAATTTGTGACAAATAGAGGGGTAAAACCATAAATTGGTACACTCGTCAATTACCACGTGTCATTTAACTCAGCAATTTGATGGTAAAATTTAATGAAAACTAACGGAGGGTAAATTTGTTACAGATGTACCAGTTCGGGATTTTTTATGATATTAACCCTAATAAAAATATAAAAATATTAAAGTTAAAGGAATTGGCAGACAAAAACAGCCTGGCATGGACGCATAAAAGCACAAGAACAGAGAAGAAAAAAGAGGGCACGCGTTGAAAAAGACAGGCCGGCAAAAGCATTTTTTTTATCATGTTTTCATGTTTAATTAAAATACTTAGCACTTGGTTTTCTATTTAATGCATTTTTTTACGTCATATCTCAAATCTAATGTTTGCATAAAGATTCTTCATACGGATTGCATGACATGCATATTTGCACGATTAGGCATTTATAATAGAATGTTTGTATAATTATAATTTCCATTTCAGAAAGAATTAGAATTCTCCTTGAAACAGGGTAGATGCATATTTAGGTCATTAAGATCGCTTTTTTCTTTTGTAATTTTAATTGCGATATTGCATGGATCACATGCAATGAAAAGTATAAAAAATAATAATTACATCTTGCATGTTAGTAATTTAGAAAAATCACAACAAATATGTTTAGGGGTTCATTTGGGGAAATTTAGATTTATTTGCATTATATTTGTATTATTCTCGGAGGATTGTGTTCCATTTAGATTACATTACGCCACATTTTCATACTTACTAGAAGGTCATTTTAGGAAAGCAACTTGTTTTGGGTGCGTTGTCGCTTAGCAAGTTACACCCGCATAGTTATATATACTTTGATACATTAGTTTATCTTAGAAAACTTGCATAGACTTTCCATTTACCACTCACAGAGTCCTATCTGGGGCTTAAGAATGAGGACTTGTTTTCTTTTATCAGATGTGGCTCGGCTGTTTATTTTACTCGTACTTTATTTATTTTAACTGCTTTGATTATTGATTGTTTATTTTCACTTGAGGGTTTCCCCTGTCAGAGCACCTGATCAATGAAAGGATCGTTCACTTTGTGAGGGCAAGCCTCGCCGGCCATTGAGGAGGCCCGGCGATTAGTGAGGAAAGAAGGAAAAACAAAGAAAGAAAATAAAAGAAAATAAAACATTATAAAAAATTGAAAAATTGTAAAAGAATTGTCTAAGTTAATGTTTAGGACTAAAATGGCCTATGTCCACATTAATGATTTATAGCCAAAATTGACCGGATGGACTACATTAGCAAATTGTCAAAATGTTTAGTAATAACTGGCCAAAATAAAAATGTTTAGGATTGAATTGATACATTTGCAACAAGTTTAAGATTTTTTTGATTCCATTAATTAATGATAACCTATTGACATGGTCATATTGAGATCCTTTTCAATTTGTGTAAAGTGCCAGAAAACTACCAAGTATGTTGTACTTGAAAATAGGCTTAAGCTACTTCAACTCTCATTGTAGCCAAAACCGATTCACCATGAGTTTTATTATTATTGACTGGCCAAATCTATTGTAGCGTGACTTTTAACTAGTTTAGTAATGTGATGATAAACGCATGTCACGTGATGCTCGTGGGATTTCAGAAGCATTGCACATCAGTCTTCCTCCTCCATATGTGCGAGCTCACGAAGGTACTACGCCCTAGAAGAATAACCTTAGAGAAGATAGCCATGCAGATCTTCGACTTTTTAGTGGCCGTCGGTAGCTCATCACCTATTTCTTTACCGACGTGGACCTCTTCCTTGTTGTAGAGAACACGGATTCTCGCTTCTAGCATATCGTGTTTAAAGGCAATCTGTAAATCCTTGGCTAGTGTCCGGCCCTTTGAAACTCAAGAAGTTCTCGTAGTCAATTGCTGATGACTCACCTTCACTCGTTTCCCCCTTCAAGCTCTTTCCCATGTCCATTCTCACAAGTATTTTAACCTGACGGTTTCCTCTTTCGAAGCAGCTGAGCAATGAAAATTGTCTGACTCCTAGCTCTTTCGTTCACTATGCCTTTGGCATAGGGAAAATTGTCCAAAAAGTCCTAAACATATTGTGCGGCAGCTAATTCAATCACGAACCTTTCAATTG